GGGGGATTGAACCGCGGTCCCTGTGCTTTGTTAAGCTTGTTCTAAGTAGGTGCTTTAGACCACTGAGCCATCTCTCCAGCCCCGAAAAAGTTTTTAAAGAGCTATTAAGGTAGCAATTATTTTTATCTTTGATTTCTAAAATTTGGAATTTACGCACATCATCTTGTCACCCTTTTCTCTCACATGTGCTTTGTATCATTTTTAGGCAAAGTGTTTCATGGACTTCAAAGCTGGAGGCACCTTATGTCACATTCTTGGGGCTGCTTACAAGTATAAAAACGAACAGGGGTGGTAAGTTTTAATATTAAATCATGTTCTTTTGTGGAATTAAGTTTAAGGTAAGTTGTGTTTTATTAAGAGCCCTGGTATACTTTGTTCTACATACAAGAATTATACTGAGCTGCTATTTTATCTGTTAGACAAAGGTTTGTGGGTTTCTTGTTTGTTTCTGGTACTGGAGATGGACCCAGAGCTGAGCAAAGTGTGCAGTGGATTTCCTTCTGTGCATGACTTACTTCACTTAATATGACATTTTCTAGGCTCATCCTTGTGACAAATGACAAGATTTTGTTCCTTTTGTTTGTTTTTTGGTGGAACTGGGGATTGAACTCAGGCCTTTGTGCTTGCCAGGCAAGCAGTTATTCTACTGAGCTATCTCCCCAGCCCCAAGATTTTGTTCTTTGACCCATTTATTTTATCTGTTCGTCTGTCAGTAGGTTTATGTAAAATCTGAGTCTGTATCAGTACAGTGCTCCAGTCACTTTTGCCTAGGGATTCCGTCCTCAGTGCCATGACTGAAAATCAGGTTGGAATAATCAATAGTGCAGATGTTTGATATACTGAGTCCATTTCCTTTCAGTATATAACCATTGATGGGATTTGCCTTTATTTATATATTTCATATATATTTTTATTTGGTGGTCATCTTAAAGACTAAACCCAGTACCTTCCAAATGAGCTACATCTCTAGCACCTTTTTTCCCCCTAGCACTTTCTATTTCATTTTCTTTCTTTGTATTTTTATTTTTATTTTTTAATTTTTTTAATTTTTTTTTTGTCTTTTTCAGCCGTTCTCACTATGTAGTTCAGGCTGGCCTCAGACTCACTTTGTAGCCCAGGCTGTCCTTAAACTCTCAAATATTGTTCTGCCTCAGCCTCCCTAGTGCTGGGATGACAGAAATCCACCACTAGGCCCAGCAAAACAGGGTGTCTTTTAAGTTGACCAGCTGGCTTCTAACTTTCTGTCCATTTCTGTCTCAGCCTCCCAGAGTACTAGGATTATTGGTGTGCACCACAACACCTGTTATAAAGAATAGGCAGAAGACTTGAATACATATAGCCAATAGATAGCTATGTGAAAAAAAACACTCAGTAGAGTGAGAATTGGAGAAATGCGGATCAAAACTATGATGAGGTGTCTCCTCACCCCAGCCAGGATGATTTATTAAAAAGACGGACTCTTTGGCTTTACTCTGGAGATTGTGCTAGGGTTAGAACCAAGGACCTGGTGTACAACCCTGATAAATTTTATCTACTTTAAAGTCAATTCTACATTTATTTGCTAGTAAGATTGTCATAGGGCTGGTGAGATGGCTCAGTGGTCTAAAGCACCTACTTAGAACAAGCTTAGCAAAGCACGGGGACCGCGGTTCAATCCCCCAGCACCACATGCCTGCCCGCCCCGCCCCCAGTGGGCTGAGCTGGACACACACACACACACACACACACACACACACACACATATAAATAAATAATTTTTAAAAAAGATTGTCATAGATTCTGGAGTTTAAAAAAAATTTATTATTTTTTTAAATAGAGTCTCATTGTGTATCCCAGCTGGCCTTGAGCTGTGTACCACAGGCTGGCCTGGAACTCGTGGTGATTCTTCTGCCTTGACATCCAGTGCAGGGATTTCAGGCATGTGGCAACCCTCCTGGCAAGATACTGTGCTGTTTGCAAATATTTTCTCCCATCCAGTGGGTTGTCTCCTCACTGTGTCCTTTTTTTTGGGTGGAACCAGGGATTGAACTCGGATCCTTACGCTTGCCAGGCAGGCGCTTATTCTACTGAGCTATCTCCTTGGTCCCTCACTGTGTTCTTTATTCTTTGTGTGCAGCGTTTTAGCTTGATGTGATTTAGTTTATTGCTTTTGTTGCTTGTGAAAAAGCAGTAGTTTAACATTTGTAGATCCATACCATTCATGAAGGAGAGGTTACTGACAACCAGGTCCAGTAAAAGAACAAATGTAAACGTCAGTGCCTGAATCCTATTACAGTTCTAAACAGATTCCTGTATGTTGTGATGATATTTTGTGTCCTTCAAAGAGATTGAAGGCTGGGGAGATAGCTAAGCGGTCTAAGTGCCTGCCTGGCAAGTGCAAGGACCTGAGTTCAGTCCCTAGTTCTGCATGCTGTGCCACCGAAATTGGGCAGGGTGGCACACACCTGTAATCCCAGCGCTTTGGAGACTGAGCCAGGAGGATGACTACAAATCTGAGCTACATGGCAATACCCTTTACCAAATAAATACTTACTTGTTTTCCTTTCTTAAGAAACAGAAGAAAAATTATTGAATGAAA